AAAAAAAAAAAAAAAAAAAAAGGCAACTACCAAAAAAAAAAGTAAAAAAATGCTGAACTGATAAAACTGTAAAATGATGACGAAACGTCCCCTCCAAAATACTTTTCCCCCACTCCCTGCTTTAAAAGTACATGGAAAATTGTGTTGTCAATATCAAGGAAAAGATCTCCCACTAGAAATTCACAGCATGAAACTGTTAATTCAAAGAAGTTTTGGTTTTTAGAGAAATACTAGGATCTCTTAAGTAGATGAACGTTTAAAAGTAGGGCCTCGGATCAGCCTTGTGCTCTCAGTAACCCCTTCCCAGTGCCAATTTTGAGCCCAAAATGCAAGCATGAAAACGTGGCAGACCCCTGGACACCGGCTCTCTCCAAGCTGCTCTCAGCAAAGTTGTCTGAAAGGGAATCTCCTCGCAGCTGAATTTGCAATGGAGTTTGGTGGTGCAATCGGTATTGATTAGTTTGGCATAGACAGATGCAGCAGTTTAGAGCAAAATCGAGAAAATGATTTTTTTTTTTTTTTCTCCTCCTTGATTTCCTGGCAGAAGATATCTTACTTTTTCAGCAAACTTTTCTTTTAAAACTAAAGCAGCCTAGGGCAATGCCAGATACTCAGAGCTTTTCTCTTGATTCTAGGTAGAAATGGGGGTGTCTGGGCTAGAGGTGGAGGGTGGAGGTGCTGTCGTCAGTCTAGCTGGCAGCAAGCAAGGCAAAAGCAGAGACTGCTCTAGAAGCGGTTCCAAGCAGCAGAGACGTCAGGAAAGGCACTTCTTAGTACCAACCTGTAGAAAAAAGAGACAGGTTAAGATTTACTAAGTAGCACTTCACCCACGTCCTACAGCACCACAACCTCGCCATGTGCTACGGGACTAGGTCGTGCTCGCGGCGGCCTGCTCTCTCCTCTCTCCCGGCCGCGCACACCCGCACGCACACTCGCACACACGCAATACTTACGGTGAGGCATATTGCAGCCAGCCATCGTAGATTTATTAAAAAAAGGGGCCGTTTCCCCTTGTGGAGCAATGCATGATAGGGGAGATAACCAATCACAGAGAGTGTTGCAGCAATATTCTGGGCAGAAAGCCAATAGTGGGGGCTGTCTTATGAAAGGTCGCGCCTGTCAGGCGTTCATTACTATGCTATAAGCACAGAAAATGTCCATCAGATGTGACTTATTCCACTGCAAGGGACGAGCATGTGGGTTTTGAATTTACCCAACATGCAGTTAGTGGACTAAACCATGTTAGTTTCAAAACAGCCTCTACGACAAGTCGGAGCACTTGACGATCGTGACCGGGGGAAGGGAAAAAAGCAAGGTTTAAAAGACTGCAGCTGACTTCCAAGCCGCTTTTCCCTGGGGCTCTGCGCAGGGCCGGCACCCGCAGCCTGCCCCTGCTGTCCTGACACGTGAATAAAAAAGGAAAGGGGTGTTTCCAAATGGTACATTCTCCTGACCTATCCAATTCACTTCCTTCTGAAGCCCAAGCCCGGCCCCTCCGCTGCAAGCGGCGCTCACACTGTAAAACTATTCCATTCAGCCCGCAGACACTTTGTCAATATATCACAGGCAGGCGAGATATGAACAAAAGCATCCTTTATTCGTCCATGTTTTAAGCAGAAGCTGAGGTCATGTGGGGAAAATAAGGAGCGCAGTGTTGTCAGCGTGTCTGGCAAATCTGAAGTCGACCTCCAGGGAGAAAGTGATTCCGTTGCAGAAACATTAAATATTAAGTGAGCAATTTGATTTGGGCAGCGTGATGCACTTCAGGGGTACGGGTGAAGCCAGAGGCTGGGGGGGGTGGGGGGATCCCCTACTGCCTAATAGAGCTATTACCTCGGCACTACAGGACTGCTCCTTATAGCGAGGCATTTTTGCTTTCAACAGCTTACTTTCTCTTTCAATCAGAAGGAAATACTTTCGGAAAACGCTTAGTAGTCACAGAAACAAAAGTATGTATTTTTGCTTTATGAATGTTACCAACAAAGTAAACAAGGCTTTAATAACTCTAAGAGTTTCACACTCCAGAGAGGCAATGACACAGTATTATAAGTAGTGTCTGATACACTTATTCAAGGGTCAAAAATGGTCAACTGGCATAGTCTGTATTCTGATGTCCAAGTTATAACATCAGAATACAGACTATAATACAGAATATATAATTGAATCAGAATACAGAATATAAATATGTTAAAATATGTTATATACATATAGACATGAATATCTAGCACACTTTTTAAAAATTTATTTTAGGATTAATAGTGTCATTCTTAACATTAATTTTTTGAAACCTATCAGACACTTGGCTTGGATAATATTGAGAAAAATGAAACAGAACCAATTCATACCAACCAATGCTCAAGAAATATTTTTGTTTTCAAAAAATGTTCTGGTCCTAATTCCTAGCTCTAAGAAAACAAAGTCAAGTCAGTCATAAACTCTAAGATTCATCCACCTTCCGAAATATTTGCCCCAATTCAGAATTTCTCAGCCACTTCATGCCTTGAGCAATGTACCACACCTGAGTCAACAATCTCTTTTGTTCTTCCCTCCAGGGTCTTGAAATACCTCACCTGCAACCATTCACTTCGTGTAGAAGCCAGCTAAGAGGTCACTGCCTCCAAGAAGTCTCCAGGATGCCACTTCCTCCCTCTCCTCTCACACTGCCTCCTCTGAGTTACGACACTGCGCCACAGTGTTCGATGTCCTTATAGTCTGATCCACTAGACTACATGTTCCAGAGGGTAGAAATAACCTTACTTCTCTCAGCAACCCTAGCATGCTGAAGAAAAATAAAATAGGTGGATCTCCATAAATGTGGGCAAATCAAATGATCGATTACTCTATCTGGTCCGGAATTGTCTCCAGGGCAAAAAAATGCACAAACACACGTATGAACACACACATGAGCACAACACATGAATACGACCACATGCGGGAACACACCCGGGCACCCCGGTCCCTGCCTCTCTGTAAGTTACAACGGCCCCGCGTGAGTCACGCAGGGCCTCCCGCTGCCCTGGACTCGCCCTGGCCCTGGCCAGCCCCCTCTCGCATCCCACGCAGCAGCCCTCCTAGAGCTTCATCCCCCTCGGGTCCCTCCCGCTATCCACAGGGGATGATCTCGTATGTCACAAATATTTCCCAGCCAAAAGAGTGGTGCCTGGGCATGAGCTCCCTCTCAGCTCCCTGCCACCCACCTCTGGACTGTCTCGTCTCCCAGGGCTTTTCCCTCCGCCTGCCCACAGCCGAGCCTCCACCTCAGCTCACTCCCTTCCTTCTCAAGACTGCTTTCCCTCGCCACGCCCTCCACAGGCGAACCTTCCCTCCATTCCTTCTCAGCCCTCCAAGGCACCGAGTGACTCCAGAAAGGAGGCGGGGGCCTGGCGGAGCAGGGGGCCCTGCTGGCCATGAGCCCTCCTCCCCCGGGGCTCCCAATCCGTCGGTACTGACCAATGTCTCGCGTACTGTCGGTACTGACCATCCACACGCGCTGTGCTTCTGCCGCTCCCTCCCGTTCACTCTGGAATCCGTGCCAGTGTGACCCCACACCACTGCTCCACGCCCCCGCAAAAGCCAAATCCAAAGCTTCTCCTTGACCTCTAACACCATTCACAGCTCCCTCTTCCTTTCTTTTTTTTATTTTATTTTTCAATTACCGTTTACATTCAATGCTATTTTGTGTTAGTTGCAGGCGGACAGAACAGTGGTTAGACAATCAAATATTTTACAAAGTGGTCCCCCCAGTATTTCCAGCACCCGCGTGGCACTGTACAGTTATTACAATATTACTGACTGTATCCCCAGGCTGTGCTTTACAGCCCCGGGACTGTTGTGTAACTGCCGACTTGTCCTTCTCAATCCCTGCGCTTTCCCCCCCAGCCTCTGGCAGCCAGCCGTCTGGTAAGGTCCCGTCTTGAACCTTTCCCCTTGTCTGGAACTGACCCGCTCTACCGTTTGGTTCCTCCCAGTGCTGTAGTCTAGCACCCTCCCTTTGGAGAGGGGCTGTAAAGAGCTGGGGGGCCCTTGGCACGGGCCATGCTGCTGTGAGCTCCTGAGGCTTGCTACACGCTAACCCTTTGTTTGGTCTGACGCACACTTCCTCACCCCTTCTATCTGGCAAACCCCTTCTCCTTGTTTAAACTGCTATTCAGACATCACTTTCTCCATGAGGCTGGGCCAACTACGGGAAACATTATTCCCTCTCAGGATATGCTCAGTGCTTTGTATCTCTTGGTTCTTTTGCCCCCCAGGTTGTAAAACCTCTGAAACAGGGTCTATCACCATGTTTTTACCCAGTCACTACCTAGAACGTAATAAAATTTTTAAAAAATGTTTGATAAACAAGTTTTATTCAAACTGAGAGTAATAAACATGTATATGGTTATATAAGGATATATCCCCAAACTCGAGAAAATATTCCGCATGATCTACGGGGTCCACGCAGTGTGAGAAAGGAGAACGGTACCATTAGAAATGCCTTCCCTGCTTGGCGGTTGTGTCTAAATACAGCTACAAAATCCATTTCTAGAGTTGGTTATTTTTCCTTTCGGTCGTGTTACAGGCTTAGTCCACTCAAGGACCAATTATACTTTACTCAAATGCTAGCAAATGGATGTTCTGGCTATTTTTAATTTCTGTAGCAGAGAAAGTCTATCTACTTCAAAAAGTATTATTGAAAGAATTATAGGCATAATTTTATAAGTTGAAAATACTATTTAGTTGTAAAATATATAGGCAAGGATGATATCAAAATATTGATAATCGGCCAGGCATAGACACCGAGAATCAGAATGGACACCAACCTTTATGCTTGTTACCTAGCTGTACCTGGTGAAATGTGTTCCAGCCCCTGGCACAGGGCAAGGGGAGGGCACGAACACATTTAGATTACACTTTATAAATTGATGTGACTGAACTGCGGATATTAGGTTATCTTTCTCTTTGCTTAAATAAAAGAATTTCAGGGCAGACTGAAAATCTTCATCACTGAGTATTTTGGTAAATCATTTTACAGGATTTAGATTAACACCAAATTCCCAAAACATTACTTCAACTAGTAATGGGCTTTAGTTCCATAGAACAATATTGAAACATGTGCGGGGAATGTCCAGACTCTGAAAATTCTTGCAAACACATCAGCCCTAGAAATATGTGTTGTTTTGTAAATCATCATTAAAGGAAATATTGTTACGGTAAAAACTATTTACTAATAGGTAAACTGTGTCTGAGATAAATTTCTGACCCTGAACAACAGCAAAAAGACAAACAAACAAACAAAAAACACAGATTAGAGACTGTAACAGTTTTGCAGTGAGAATCAAACTTTTTAAAGCCCGCCTAACAACAAGCCCTCTCTTACTTACTGACCAAATCCCTCACACTCAGCTACAGTTCCTCACATGTGACTTGTTCCGCCACAAGCATATACATTCTGCCACAAGAACCAAAAACCAATTTCTCCTTGAGTGGTATCAGAAATCACTTTTATTTTTTACTTTAAGATACAAGGGGGGGCGGGGAAATAAAAAGGGAAAAAAGAAAATATAAAAGAGGAAAGGAATTCAAGAAGAAGTTCAAGGATCAAGTAAAAAAAGCGAGGGAAATTGCCAATTACTCTTATAGTAACTGATACATATTAGCATTAAACTGACAGTGGGTATCTTCACATAAATATCCACCGAAAGGTTACATACGTACTTCAGTAGAGGGTAAACAGACGCTGACAAGGTGTGAGACGAAACTCTATTTTGGAGAACTGGATGGCGTCTCTGAGCAAGGTTAAATTTCTTACATATGTTTAGGAATCATTTCAGTTCTTCTGAACCAAACTATAGGCAGGTTGGTCCTATTACATCTCAGAGTGGCTAGCTGGGAATTTTAGGGACTTTTTTTTATAGCTTTCGATTTCTGAAATAGGTTACACATTGAGGAAGTTAACTGAGTAATTACGAGGCCATTTTCTTTTTTACGAAGACAATTTTAATCTAACTGGAAGAGATGTCCGACTTGACGGCGTGTATTTGGAGGGGACAAGCAGGAGCCCCTGTCCAAAACCGTAACTTCTCACCCCCTTCACTGGTGTCAACAAGTCCATAATTAACTTCAGTAATTTATTTAATGCATTGTTAAATAAATTTAGTAAGTGAATAGACAGATAACAAATCAGTAAACTTATTTGGAAAACCAGTACTTTACTACTAAGTTAGCTCATGGAAAAATCTTTTGTCCACGGTTTGTCCCAAATATTAACAAAGATTTCAGTATACAACCAAGTATTTCTGGAGGCTGTATAGCCATTTCTCTACTCACTACATTACTAAGTAAAGTAACAAAGCTGTTATTTATTATCTGGGGAAAACTGTGGTCTGAATGGGTTAACGCAGTCTTCAGCAGTATTGGACTCCATGTAACAAAAAGCTGAGGTCAGTGTTTCTGTGACGGGTAACACACTCCTGGTAGCACCATAGCCATTTTAAGTGACACAGAAACAAGATTTTAACAGATGCATGAGAATAATAAAGCGAGCCCATCAAGCCTGTGATTACACAGGTATGAGAGCTCAGGAACAGGCTAAAGTTTAAAAAAATTTAAAGAATAAGACTAAGTAAAATATTGGCAAAAATCATGAAAGGAGATAAGCAAATGACTGTTTTTGGAAATACTGCTGCGAAATTAAGATAACTTTCAACCACACAGTGTCTGGATCGGCACAGCGACCGTCAGTGTGGCCTGCTGGTCGACACGCTGCAAGGTATTATGGGTGGCAAGCTGCTGCCAAGAGAAGAAAGGCTGTGTTCACCAACTCAAATAAGCAACCTAAGGTCTGCCGAAGCATCCCTTTGAAACTCTGATAGGTCTGATTCCCTGATCATCAAGTGGTCTCCTAACGGAGGAATCATGAAGGAGCGTTAGGAGTGATGCACTATCCACAAAGATCATTCCAAAAGCAACTAACTAAACTGCACTCACATTAGAAAACGATTACTATCCCTTAAGTATTTATATTTAAGACAAAATAAAACGTGAGTCCTCTAACTCAGACAATGATTAAAAAGCTCATGTTGAATGGATTCCTCTATCAGGCAAAATTTTTAAATTTAA